TAATCCTAAACTCTTGGATTAATTTGACTTTCTTGGGTTCGTCAATCTCGTTGTGGGTTTCGTAGTGAACGTTGACTGGGTTCACATTAGTTTGAAAGACCCCTTGATCATGCAATCCAAGAATTAAATTCGATTTGGAATGACAGCTCCGGGTATGAAGTCAATATGATGTTCAATGCCTCGAATAGGCGGCAATCCACTTGGTGCATCCTCCGGAAATATATCGTCGAATTCCTGCAACAAAGACTTAGCCAAACTAGGGAGGGGTGAGTTAGTTTCCTCAAAATTGAGGAGTGATTCCTTATAAACGAACAAGATCATCTCTTTTCTCTCAACTACCGCCCTACTCAAATCACTCTCTTTTGCAAAGAAATTCACTCGTATTTTCTCTCTTTTCTCGGAACACTCTCTTTCTTTTCTCTCTTGTGATTGCTCTCTCTTTTTCTTTCTAGTGGCTATCTCAATATTTTCTCTCTTTTTCTCTAACTCACCACTTTATCTCATTTTTTCTTACTCCTTGGCTCTCCTCTCTTCCTCACTTCTCAATTTTAATTGGTCCTCGTAGAATTGCACCGGTGTTAATGGCATAAGAGTTATGGTCCTTCCATCCTTAATGCAACTACGTCGATTTTTGTACCCATCATGCATAGTCTTCCTATCGTATTGCCATGGTCGCCCCAATAAAATATGTCGTGCTTGCATTGGCATCACATCACACACTAACTCATCCTTGTAACTCTCAATTGACAAATTAATTAACACTCTTCGATTCACCCTCACCTCACCACTCTCATTCAACCATTGTAATTCATAAGGTGTCGGGCATCTCAACAATGTTAAACCCAACTTTTCTACAAAAGATACGCTAACTACATTAGTGCAACTACCACCATCAATTATAGCACTACATACCGTATTGTTGACGTGGCATTGAGTGTGGAAAATGTTCTCCCGTTGCAACTCCAAATCATCTGCTTTAACGTGAGTAGTAAGAGCTCGTCTCGTGACTAGTAGATCCCCAACTGGCCCTTCAACTTTTTCTTCTTCACTAACATCTTCCAACGCCGGCATGTCATCAAACTCGCCATCACTATCGCTCACTATCTCCCCATCATCCCGCAATACCATCGCCCGTCTGTTTAGGCATTGAGAAGCAATATGCCCCGTTCTCAAACACCTAAAACATTTGATATCCCGATTACGCGACGGTTGTGCCTCCGGTTTTGATATTGGTTTGCTAGCGTTTTCATCATTACCTTTTTGCCAATCACTTTTACCTCTAGGTACAGTCCCATTTTTGTTGTTGTCATCCCACTTCGTTTTCCATGTTGAATTAGAATTCGAAGTATCCAACATTTACCTAGACGTCCCCTTCCTCCTCAATTGCCTTTCGACCTCATTGCCACATGTAACATGTCCTCGATTTTCACATAGTGTTGCAACTCTACAACGTTTGCAATATCCCGATTTAAACCATTCAAGAACCGTGTCATGGTAGCTTCCCGATCTTCCTCCACATTAGCTCGAATCATAAGAATTTCCATATCCTTGTGATAATCCTCTACGCTTTTCGACCCTTGATACAAACCTTGCAATTTTTTATGGATTTCTCTATAATAGTGACTCGGAACAAACCTCCTCCTCATCAACGTCTCCAACTCATCCCAAGTGTTAATTGGCCTTTCCCGACCCCTACGCTGTGACGTAAATACTCGATCCCACCAAAATATCACGTAATCCACAAATTCAAGCACCGCCAATTTTACCTTTTTCTCCTCCGAATAATTATAGCACTCAAAAATCATCTCAA